AAGCTGCTTACATGGGATCTTGGGACACCGGGAGCTGGGAACTGGCACGGCAACACGGTCCAGGTATTGAGAAAAATCAGATAAACCCTGCTGCTCTCACCAGCCCCAATCCCCACCCACCACCGGGCCACGAAAAGCTTCGGGCTCTTTTGCAAACGCTCCTCACCAAAAGCTTTGCCTTTTTTTTTCGTCCTCTCCTCACCCACACAGTGGAACGATAGCCCAAAGAGCACTGTCAGCTCTGCGCAGGAAAATGCCCCAGGCAAAACCCCGTGGGGGGCAATCAACTTGAAAGCAACATCAATAATTACCTGATCTTGGCATGGGCACCTCAACACATCAGCACAAGCAGAAAACTCCTGCTCCTTGGAAAGTTTGGGATCACCAGACTCGCCGAGGCTTGAATCCCAGACTGGTTTGGGTGGGAAGGGACCTTAAAGCCCATCTCATTACAACCCCCTGCCACGGGCAGAGAACCTTCCACCACACCAGGTTGCTCCAAGCTGACTTTACCAAATTATTTGCTGGCTTTTGGGGGGGGGGGGGGGTTCCCCCCCGTTTCCCCCCCAGTTCCTGCAGTGCTGTGCAGCTGGTTATGGATTGCTTGGAGCTGGCGTATTTGATGTTACCTTCCTCAGGATGGTGTTATGCTCCCCTGCAGGGAGCCCCATGCTATTGGTCTCAGATCGTTTCTCCCACTTCTCAAGATCATTTGGAGATGGGATTCAGTTCCTCTGTACTGTTTGTATCTCTTCCCAGCTTGGTGCCTCGGACATACATTGTACTCCCTGTTCCACATGCTGCATTAATGAATATATTACAGGGAACCTGACTCCAGGGAGGAAAGAAAACAAACCTGCTGTTTGAAGTGCCTTTCCAGTGCTTTTCTGACCCTTCCTGTCCTCAGGGGGGATAAACTCGCCCCCCATCATGTCCTTAACATCACTTTTGAAGTCACTCTTTGCTACCTACTGCAAGTCCTACCGCTTTAAATACAAGACATACACACTTTAGTCTGGTTTTCCCTATTCTAAGACCACATTTCCTCCGTATTTACTGGATGTTTTGATAAACTGAACTCTTTTTGCAGTGTTTGGAAGGCTGGTAACACACCCCTCGCTGTGATTCCTGCTTTATTGGCCACGCTCTGCGCACAGTTGCAGTTTCTCTCTCCATCAGCCTTGTTTGGACTGTGCTCACTGCAGCCAGCACCGGCACATCTCATTTTCTTTTGATGAAACTGCATTTTCAGTGCAGAGCTGTGCCATCTTTTTCCAATTTTTTTTTTTTCCTAGTGAGCCCTAATCAGGAAAACAAAGTTATTGAAAGCCTTGTCTTGCCCTTCCTGCACACAAAGTCCTTTCACAGACTCTGAGGTTGGTTGGTTTTTTTTTTTTTTTCAAACAGATCAGCAAAGCTGACAGATTGACAGTCATTAAATGTAAAAATTTATTTCACAGTATCCCAAAATTACAAGTTTCAAATGAGAAATGACACTTGCTCAAGGCACGAAGTGTGGTTATCTTTTTCTTTTTTTTTTTCCCCTATTTTCTGCCTCTTTCCTATGAAGACTTAAAGTATTCTTCTTTTTAGTATGGTAATGTAAAAACCTCTTTCTTGCATCTCAAATTAAGAGAGGGAAAGATCACTATGGCCTGGGATAATGATTCAGCTATTGATCCAGAAGATGCTTTATTAGATTATTTTGAGGCAGACGAATGTAATTTAATACCAATTTATTTTCTATTCCTACGCCAGTCCCAGATACAATCTTTTCTGCATGAAATTAGCACTTTCTTCTTTCAACCTCAAAGAAAGATTATGCTTTGCTCCTTGCTTGGATTAGCTGGGGGAACTTTTTTCACCAAAACATTGACTTTGAGCGTTCCTGATAGTGGTTTCAATACCTTAAAGTCAAAACCTCATCTGGGATTAGCGGGTTCTAAGCTTGTCTCTCTTGTTATTAATGCAAGAACTAGTGATGTCTGATAAATGGGAGATTCCAGAGGAGGAAAATAGAGGGAAAGAGGAAAACTGAGCAGGTTTAATGCAGGCAGAGAGGGGGGATAGCAGGAAAGGAACCCAGGCGCTGCCAGCTCGTATCTAGCATTAAAAAAGCTCTGCTTTTATAAAGATCACCATGAAGTGCGCAGGGACCTCACAAAAGCAGAAGAACGAGGTGTTTAAGGTTGTCAAAGGTGGACTTGCACACTGGAATACCTCAAAAGATTCCCTGATGTTCCCAGCTGGCACAGCCAGGGCAGCACAAGGAAAGGCTCATTGACCTCTGGCGCTGGGAAAATGTTCTGGAGTTCTGAAAGAGCCCAAAACAAGCTGCCAGGGGAGCTTCTGGGAGCTCTGACAGAATTGCTGTCCTCTTAATGAAAGCTCTGGGGACTCCAGATAGGGAGTTGGGGGTGATTCCCCTCCTTTATTTCACAGAGTCACAGGGAGGAGGAGACAGTGACCTTCACTGGACAGTGTGAGCCGAGTGGGGAGCGAGCTCTGTCAGTACAGACGTGCCTTAAAAAACTGAACTCTGGCTTCAAGCAGCACAAATATGTGTCCTAATTGTACCTCAGACTGCATGTTAAACCATCCAGATGACACTTGTATCCTGGTGTTCGTGTCATTTGTCCATCTGGTGCTCGTACAGATGACACACCTTCTCAGTGGCACGTCAAAAGTGACAAGTATTAATTCTACAAATATACAGATAATGACTGGAAAGAACTTGCACAGAAATCAACTCCAACCCGTTGCTGATGAGCAGGGATGTGACCAGAGGCGAACTGAACCGTGTGACTCCTGGTCTGATCCCAGGAAGGTGTTTATTTGTGAGCAGTTTTGACGGGGAGGAATCAAGAGCAGCAGCCTCTCATTGACACTGCAGCAACAAGACACGGGGGCTGATCATTTCTTACCTCCCTCCAGCACCAGGACTCTGATATTCCTGGCACTCAAGTGGCATTTCCAGGGATGGGAGCTCAAATCAAAGGAATCAGGCAGTGCCCAAAGCAGCTTCTGGCTCTTTCTGTGGTACAGGAGACGCCTGTGGTACAAAGCTACAGCTCAGAGACATCAGGGCTTATCACAGAACCACAGACTGGTTTGGGCTGGGAGGGACCTTAAATCTCATCTCATTCCACCCCTGCTCCAAGCTCTATCCATCCCTTGAACACTTGCAGGGATGAGGGCAGCCACAGCTTCTCTGTACAAAGAAGAACCAGGGAAAATTTGGGTACAGATTCATACCAGCAGCTGGGTTTGGGTCTCACTCCTACTCATCAAACTCGCTGCAGAACATGGAGAAAATCAGATCTCAGAGGCAAGAAGCCACGTTTCCCACTCCATACCTCTGTCAGAAGAATGTCCCCTGCAGACTATTTTCCTGGCACAGCCTGGCTTAGGCACTCAGACAACAGTGGGGCTCCCCTTCCCAGAGCAAGATAAAAGGATGTCAATTTGAAATAAAATCTCTACGCTGCAAACAAAGCCAGCCTTCCTGGAGAGCAGTAATTGGAAACCCTCCCTTCAGTGCAAAGTTAAAGTAATTCTCTACAGTTAAGTTTCAGGGAAATATTTACAGAAAATTGTTATTCTCGCACTTCTGCATGTTCCAAAGGGAGCAACTTCACAGCACAGTTGCCAAGAGGAAATGCTCAGGGAGGGTTATTTTCCCCTCTTTTTTCCTGCCTCTCACTGATCTAGAGAGGAAGGATAAAGTCCTCATTAACAAAGGGAAACTTAAGAACCAAAAGGATAAAGTGGGGCACACACTGTAGGTCTCCTGGCCAGAGTAGGAGTCTGTCACTGGTGACACAGGGGATGAAATGGCTAATTACAGCCCCAGGCCAGGAGGGCTCTCATCAGCAGTGTCCTGCTGGAGCCTGAGCACCTGCTCTCCACAGGAAGAAATGTTTCATCTCCAAAGGACACACCAGAATTAACGTGGCTGCAACCTTTTATGAGGCCATAGCACCTCTCCAGTCATCCCACCACGCTGATTAAAATGCTTTGATCCTGTTCTCCTTGTACTCACCTGGCTTTTTCTTTTTATCCCCCAGCCTGGCATGTTTGACTTTGCAGGAATCTTTTGTTTCAATTTTACAACCTGCTTAATGGCTTGAATTCCTGAAGAGAACCTTTCAGGAGTACAGTGCAGCACCATAAAGTATTCCAGGTGACACTACAGCACTCTGCTCCTTCAGTGTGACTGCAGAGTTCACATCCATCCTGCTTTTTTCCCCCCTCCCAGTCACAACCCAACTCCAGAGGTCCAGGAGGCTTTGGAGTGCTGAGGGACTGTGGAAATAGAGGATGTTCTGCCTGAGGAACAGAACAGCATCAGTGAGGTGCCTTGTGTAAATTGTGGACACACCGATTGAGGTCCCTTTTCTGCCCAAAGCCTGAAATTAAACTCAACAAGAAAGCAAAGCTGCAGTTAAAGTTCTGCTGGTGGGACAGGGAGAGGAAGAAACCAATAGAACGTGAAACCCCTTGATATATTTGTGTGTATTTTTGATTTAAAGAGCTAGAAAGTGATGCAGGACAACCCCAAAACCCTTCTTTCCCACTGCTCCCAGGTACAGGATGCTGCAGGATCCAGGATGACCTTGGTATAAACACTCAATGACCAGTACTGGACCAAAGGAAGGATAATTACTGCTCAGCACCTGGCTATCAAACTATTCCAATGAACTGGCAACACTTTATTTCCCCTAATGGTCACAAGAACATTTGTTCCTGAAGGTTTTCAGAATGATCTGGCAGGTAAAGCATCAGACTGGAGCCAAGAGGAGGAGCTCTGTAATGGGTCTGAACTTACCTGCTGTGACCTTCAGAGAGTTTCTGCCTCTCTCACTCTTTTATCAATACTTGATGGTGACTCTGAAAAAATCCAAACTCCCATGGTGCTCACTGAGACCTGCCAGCATTCCCAGGACAAGTCAACATTCCCAGGACACATTGGCAGGAACGACCAGACTGACAGGAGGCTCTGGAGTGAAGTGTTTTTACTTGCAGGTGTCAACAGTGCCACACTTGTACCTCAAGCAACAGCAGAATACACAGAGGATATTCAACACAAGCACCTCAAAATGATCAGCCAGAGAGCTCTTCCCCCAGGCTTTAAACCCTGTGCAAAGGTTTAGCAACACACTGAAAAATGCAGTTTGGTCAATGAGAATACACTTACACAGGTTGAACAGTTACTGACACAGGCTCTCCGTTTCAATCTGGCCAGAATCTCCCTCTCCTTTCCCCTTCAGGCAGCACTGATGTGCCAACTGGATTATATTTGTTTAATAACTTAGCCCAGACATGGCCATTTCATGTTTGATTAAGCTCTGAACCCATGTCAAAAAAGAAACTAAAAAGAGAACTCCAACAGCTCACTGCAATAATTTAACACATGGACAAGGGGCACAGGGGAGGGATGGTGAAGGGCTGTACATTCCACCTGAAGCTCAGACACGACTCCCAGCACAGTTTTCCTTCTTCCCCCACTACCCATTGATGCGATAATTCACGTGGATCTCGGGTTTGATGTCACACACCAGGGACAGCAGCTGGGACAGAACCACCTCCCGGTTCTTCTGGAAGTTCTGTTGGATCACACTCATCTTCTCCTGCGTCTCCTTCTCAACTTCAGTGGTGCAGCTGCCATGGGATCCAAGCGCCTGCAAACAGCAAAGGAAAGAGGAAGCTCCAGTGAGACCAAGAAATCACCACACCAAGCTCTGTATTTTGTTTCTCTGGACTGTCTCGGGGCATCTCAGCCATTAATCTTTGCTGAGGGAAGATTAATGTGAATGTTTATGTTAAAAACTCAAAAGACCTGTTGGATTATAGAATCACTGAATGGTTTGGGTTGGAACAGACCTTAAAGATCATTTTGTTCTAACCCAGGGGAGCATTTATTCATTATCACTTAAGAGCATGAGCTTTTAAAGAGTGCCCCAAATAAAGGCCCTGCTGTACAGATAATTGGAACCTGCAACTCCTGGGCACTTCTGTTCTAGAGAGTGCAAGAAAAGTAACACCCCTGACTTAGCTTAAGCACAATTCACATCATCCCATTCCTTCTATCCCTGGAGAATCTTTATAAAAATGTGTGACCAGTGATAGGACCCAGGGAATGGCTGGAGCTGTGTCAGGGCAGGCTCAGGGTGGATCTCAGGGAAAGGTCCTTCCCCCAGAGGGTGGTTGGCACTGACCAGGCTCCCCAGGGCAGTGGGCACAGCCCCAAGGCTGCCAGAGCTCCAGGAGGGTTTGGACAACGCTCTGAGGGACAGGGTGGGATTTCTGGGGTGTCTGTGCAGGGCCAGGGGTTGGACTGGATGATCCCTTTGGCTCCAACTCAGGAAATTCTATGGTCCCAATAGGAGTGTGGGCCACATGATATACACAGCAGGGAGTCTCTCCCAGCTTACAATGTCCTTCTCACCCCATTAAAAGAGAGGAGAAAATGGCCCAGAAGAAGAGACTGACACCTTGGGACTCCAATTCTTCCCTGTGGGAAAGGATGAGTAAAACCAAAGCAGCTGAGAGGCACTGAAGTCTGTGGGAATTGCCTGGGATCACGTGCCCAGTGACCCAAGCTAACAAGCAATGGTTAAAACCATTCCTGACCCACTGAGGTGATTATGCAGGAGCAGAGGAGGTGGAAATGTGCTATCCAGAGGATGGGCAGCGGGAAGGATGGGGGCAGACAAGCAGGGCAAACAACCTCACCTGGTGGAGGGCCTCAGTTCTGTGCCTTTTGGGAATTCTTCTTGCTCAGAAGGGAAGGACAGAGCCATGGGATTTAGAAGGAAACACTGCTGAGCAGAACACAAGCCTTACAGCTGCTTCAGCAAGAGCAGCAGCTACGAGGCAAGTGGCCCCTACCACACCAGCATCATAAAAACCAGCTTGTCACAGTAGGAATGGGACAATGCTACACACAGAAGGTTTTGGGAGGCTGCCACCCATCAGGGCACCAGCCAAGCCATGAGTTTACTAATCTAATTCCCTGCCTGTCAATAGTTCTGCTGTTGAGATGAAAAACACCCTGTTCTGAGTCACTCCCACTGCTTTTTCCGTGCCACGTGGCCCTGCATCACAGGAAGGCACTTAGGGAAGTGCTGCTCCTGCACCACACTCCACCCCCTGTTTCAAGGCAAGGAACCCCACACAGGGGGCTGAGGGGCTGCAAGGAAGTGGATGAGGTAGAAAACCAACCGCTGCCTCCTTGGCCTTGAACTCCTTCTCCCGCTGCAGGCGGTACTGCTCGATCTCTGCCTGGGCTTCCTCCTTGGCCTGCTTCAGCCTCCGGTTCTTCCCTGGGTCCAGAGAATAAAACAAGGGAAAGAAAGAAGAGAAACCACTCATAACTTGCTGCCCTACAGCTCTGCAGCTCCCCAGTGCACAACTATCCCCACAGAGTTTGCTGCTGCAGCAGCTCCCTGTGTAGGAGGCACCAGCCAAGCCCCCTCGGTGTCTGCTGATCTCAGGACACAAGGGTCACCCCACCAAACCACAGCCAGGAGCAACAGAGAGGTTCTCTGAGCCACTGGATGCACTGGGCAATGTTCAGCTCTGGCCTTACACATCCCCTGCCATGGGCAGGGACACCTTCCACCAGCCCAGGTTGCTCCAAGCCCCGTCCAACCTGGCCTTGGACACTTCCAGGGATGGGGCAGCCACAGCTTCTCTGGGCAACCTGTGCCAGGGCCTCCCCACCCTCACAGGGAAGAATTCTCTCCCAATATCCCATCTAACCCTGCCCTCTGGCAGTTTAGAATCACTGCCCCCTGCCCTGTCACTCTCTGCCCGTATAAAAAGCCCCTCTCCCTCCTTTTTACAAGCCTCCTTTAGGCACTGGAAGGAGCTCTAAGGTCAAAAGCAGAGCCTTCTTTTCTCCACTGAACACCCCCAGCTCTCCCAGCCTGGCTCCAGAGGAGAAGGGCTCCAGCCCTTGGAGCACCTCCATGGCCTCCTCTGGACTCTCTGCAGCAGCTCCACGTCCTTGCTGTGCTGTTCCCCAGGGCTGGAGCAGCTCTGCAGGGGGGTCTCACCTGAGGGGGCAGAGGGGCAGAATCCCCCCCTCCCCTGCTGCCCACACTGTGGGATCAGCCCTGAACACAGTTGGGTTCTGGCTGCCAGTGCATATCCAGCTTTTTATCCATGAGAACTCCCAAATCCTCCTCCACAGGGACACTCCCAACAAGCTCTTTTCCCAGTCTGTACCCATGTCTGGCACTGCCCCAACCCCCCTGAGCCTCTCTGGGAGACCCCAAAAGAGCCCAGCAGAAAAACACATTCGGTCTTAGCTTTGGCCCAGACCAACTGTGAAACCGAGAGCAAAAGGGCAGTGCCTCAACTTCCCCTCTTGGACTTCCCAGCTCATTTTCCCCTCCAAGATTTATCATCATTGGAGTGAACTACAAAAGTCTGCTTCTTGCAACACTGTCAGGGGTTTGAACAACAAGTCAGGGCAGATAGATAAATATAGATATAGACAGATATAGAAAAATATGGATATAGATTGATATAGATACATAAGTATAGATATAGCTATAGACAGACATAGATAGATATAGAAATATTAGATATACATATACATAGATGGATATAGAAATATAGATAGACATAGATATATAGATATAGCCAATTATAGGTCGATATAGCTATGTTGGAAGCAGGAAAAATTTGCAAAGCTGGGGCTTCTTTGTAACCAGAAATTCTCTTATTTAACAGTAAAACCTAACTTGGATCGCCAAGGAATAGCGCTCAGCTCTCTAAAACTCTAAAACCACAAATGAGAAACACTCAGTTCCCACCGAGAAAAAGGACCAGTTAAAGGTGGGAAGGGCAGAGCCAAGCACAGGCACCCCCCAAGGGACGCCGCTGCCGTTGCCCAGGCCGGGGCCTGACGGTGACGGGACTGCCCCGAGACCGGGCACGGGGGATCCCACACCGGTCACGGAGCCCACCCCGCGCACCCACGGCCGGGCCGCGAGGCCTGAGGCGGCCGCGCCGGTACAGGCTAGGCCAGGCCAGGCCAGGCCTGGCTACCCCGCGTTCCGCCGCCGCCGCCTCAGCGGGCGCGGCGCGGCCTGGGGGGAGCCGAGCCGTGCCGTACTCACGCTTGCGGGCCTCGGCCACCTTCTCCGCGGCGCGTTTCTCGGCCTGCAGCAGCTGCTGGATGCCCTGCGACTGGCTC